CGACACGTTAAAAGGGAAATAACAACAGCTGACACAATAACCCCCCAACTAAGGTTGTAAGTAAAAGATGAAGATGGGCACTTTAGGGAGGGAAGGGCAATGGTTTGTTGATGTTGGAGGGCAGCAGGATGGAAGGTGGGCGGCGATGGAGAAGCAGCAAGTAACGATGATGGGAGGAGGTGGGATGTTGCAGGTTGGAAGATGGGTGTGTCAGGGAAATGTTAGGTTGCGGCTGTAACAGGGAAGGAGGAGACAGGTGGCTAGCTGTAGACGTAAGAATGAGGAATAGCAAGAAACGACAGAAGAAACAACGAAAGTGTACCATTTAGGGGTTGACTGCGGCAAGGTGGAAGGGTATATATAAATAAATATTAAATATATAAATTTCTAACATTACATGTTAAATATATTTAAATTAGAAAATTATAGTGTATATACAAATAAATATAAATCTAGTTTATAATAAAAATAAAATTTCTAATAAAAACATAATTTCAAATAATTATTAAGAATATAAAGTTTATAATACAAAAAGGAACAATTACATACATAGCACTACAAACATTTTTATTTGCAAATTTATCAACTTTTTCATCCATTCTTCAAATTCTTGCTCAAATATCAAAATTCACAATAAAACTACAACACATATTTTTTTTTTATTTTTATTAAATTCTCAAAGGTTTGATCGGGACGCTGACCATAAATGCATTGTTTAGTAGTTTAAGAAAATTAACTCGGTGCTAATATCGTAAATAACAATATTTCGAGTGTTGTCTACGTAAGTATCCTCAATAAAATTTTAAAACTAAAATGTTATTACTATATTTCACATTCACCATCCCATTTAACATTCTCAAAGTCTAAATCCATGGGCTCAATTCTTTATTCATGCAGCACAACTCAAATTTCAGCATATTCACAGTTTTTTTTAAACCCGCATTATAAAGTAGAGTATTTTACGCATTATAAAGTAGAGATAGTATTACATTGTCTATATGGGGAAAAAAAGTTTGAGAGTGTGAGCTTGTAACTCACCTAAGTGGTGGACATGTTATTAATTAGCATGACTAAAGCTCAAAAAAATTAAATTTAGGTTTCTGAATTTATGGTTATAAGTTTAACTAGTAAGATTTATACACTGAATTATTATATGAAAATTTATAATCATGAGATTAAGAATTAAAAGCAATTAAAAAATGTTGATTGGACCAATTAGTTCCATATAACCGGGACCAGTTCACAGATCGAATCAATGATTCAAGCCGATTTTCATAGCTTTAATGTGAAACAGTTTTTAAGACTAAGTGAACCGACTATATGACTAGTTTATAACTGAACCAACCAATCTAATTTAATTTTTGAAATGTTGGTTGTTATAACCATTCATATCACAAATAACTTCTCATCAAAATTTTGCCTTTCAAAACATCAATGAAAACTCTCTTTCGTGCTTATCCCAATTTGAGCACTATAAACAATATCATATTGTAAATCATCGCTTATACCTCATTTGTACATATTCATAGCAGTAATAACGAAAAAAATGGAAACTTGAGCATTCAAGTGCATCTTTAAAAACTATTTAACAAATTAAAAGAGGGTCAAATAAAACCCTCATGGAAAGCCTTGTTATTGAAAGTAATAGTAGAGGCTTTTGCTAAGTGGATATGCCATCTTCACCAACTCATGTGAAAACAATCTCGACATCACCTTCCTAAAAAACCACTCCATAAATTAAGCCCCCTCCTTCCACACCTAATAACTCAAAAATTCCAAAATCATGACCAACAAAAAAGGCGTATTCAAGGGGAAAATATTTAATTTCGAGACCAATAGATATTTAAGACACCTCTTCAAATTATAAGAATGACGGAATTATAGTTTCAAAACATTCCTTACAAAAGAAAGTTGAAGACAAAAAATAATGGTTTTAACATGCTAGCTGATGCAGGAGCTTTCCCGCGCTGATTTTTTACAATACTATAGCTACTGTAGTACAGCAGGATCAACATCGAGGGAGATGATGGACGAGAGACAAGAGACAGGTAGCCGAAGCAGTCCATTTTCTTTATGTTTTCATTCCTATTATCTTTCATTCATTTTAAGTCATTTCCTATATATGTGTTGTATTAAAATTTTAAAATCAATTTTATGGTGTTTTATGTCAGTATAATCATCGGTGTCTAGGGTTTCCCCTTCTATAAATGTATCCGAAGATGAGAAGGTGCTCTCGTTATAACTCATTCGAGGTGATGGTCTCCTTCCAAGTGAGGTTTTAGTTCATTTCAGAGGGGGTATTGATCGTTACCCAACACCTTCGCGGCCTTTCCAACCGCCGCCAATCCTTTCCCCTCCCTCCTCTTCGCTGCCTTCACTGTCCCAGCCCTCCACCGTCACCACCGCCCGTATTCCCTCCCTCTCCTCGTTGTTTTGACTGGTTTCCAGCCCTCTATACTTATTGGAGCAACCTTACTGTCTTTTTCATGTAGTCCCGCCACCAAGCCACCTATTTCATTCATTGCAATCATCCCCCTCACTGTCGCAGCCCCGAGACGGCAACCATCTTATTGTCCTGCAATTCACAACCCCTCCTTTCGTTGTCCCTTGGCTTTCGTTGTCGTTCCAAGCCCTCCGCTTCACCTCCAACGCAATTTCAGCTCCTCCTTTTGCTGTCCCAACAATCCATAACCCATTTTAACCACCCATCATCACTCCCCAAACGCCTAGCCGACTTCCACCACCCCTGGATCGAGCCCTTGCGTAAATTTGTGTCATATTTTGTTGTAATTTCAATTCAAGTGTGTTTGGTTATAACTATCTATTGGTTTTTAGTAATAACATTTGTTTTTCCTATTGTGATTTGGGAACACTCTGATATCAACAACAATCATTAAAAAAAAAGACAAATAGAGCTTGTAAGCATGCATGTATATTAATTGATTCAAATCATAAATTGAAATTAGCAAAAGAAGATGTTATTGTGGATAGAGAAATTTAGCAAAGATTGTGAAGAAAACTTACTTATCTTGCACATACAAAACCATATATAGCTTATGTTGTGAATACGGTGAGTTAATTCATGCATAATCCAAGAAAAGTTCCCTTGTAAGTCGTCTACCAAATTTTTCACAACTAAAAAGCTAATTCTAAGAAGAACTTTATTGCGAAGAAACAAAAAAATTTAAAATTTGAAGTACACACGGATGCAAACTATACAAGTTCGCAAGAACCAAAGAGATCCCCTTTGGATATTGCACCTTTCTATGAGGTAATCTAGCCACAAGAAGAAGTAAATAAAAATACAATATAGTAGTGAGATCATGTGCAAAATTATATTTTAGAGAGCCAGGATAGAATGGATAAATGTCTTACTATGGTTGAAAATTTCCCTCAAGGGTGTAAAAATTGAGTAGGATGACCATATAAAGCTCTACAATGAAACGGTTCAACAAAAAAATATTTGACCAAAATAATATACAGCGGAAAGATGGATATTTTAGAAAAAAAAAATTTAGTCATTGGTTTAATGCATATACCATATTTTTCAATGTGGGATCAATTATAAAAATGTCTTCAAATAAGAATCAAGTTTTAGAAGATTTTCAATCAATTGGAAATAGAAGATATACATTCACCAATTTGGGAAGATGTGTTGAGAGACAGGCATGTGGCATCAAAATTAGAATTATTTTCTAAGCTAAAAGCCAATAACTACGAAGTGATTTCAATAAAAAAAACTATGTTATCAAAGCCCTTCAAAAGTGGCTGCTTATGGTAATAGATCAAATTAATTTCTTAATTCTAGAATTATTGGCATACATTCACCTAATTGAGAGAAAATGTTGGAAGACATGCATGCGCTATCACTATTGGACAGATCTTCTATGCTAAAAGACAAAGATTACTAGTGTTAAATTGCAATCAAATACCATGTTATCATGTCCTTTTCAAATGTGGCCCCTTTTGGCAATAGCTCAAATTAACTTCTAGATCCTGGAATTAGTAGTGATTAAGAAAAACTCTCAATAAAAAGAACTTCATTTTTCTACCTTAGATATGATTCCTTTTGTTTTCTGTAAATGCAGCTTATGCATGACTCGTGATTGCATATTATTAAGATCAAGTGAGATCAATGAAATCCTCTAAAGTTTTCTCATCCTTGTAAGCCTCCATATCCTTTGCGCATTGCTTAGTAGACATAGAATTAAAGATAGATAAATCACAATTATTGATTGCGATGCCATTTGGGATCACTTTCATTTTTTTTCTCTTCTTTTTTTCATAATTTATATCCAAACATAAAATTAAACATGTTTGATATCTCAGGTGATGGATACAATTATCAGCAGTGTGGCAACTGCAGTTAACAATGCAATGACAATAGCGGCTGCTGCTGGTGGTGGCAATCGTAGCAACAGTTATTTTTAAAAATACTTAAAATTTATTTTTAGTATTTTTTAATGACTTTATTTTTATTTTTAAGCAGTTTTTTTTAAAACACTTAGAAAAGTTATTTTTAGTATTTTTTTAATGACTTTATTTGTTTTTTTTATAAAAAAAGGGTAAAAACTAAAATAAACATGTTCTTTAAAAAGAAAAAATAAATCCAAATCAGGCCCTACAGCAATTATATGTAATGTTGACGTGTGATGTAGTTGTTTCAATACTGCGATTTAGTAGATTTTCCAAAAATCGGCCGAGTTATGATTCACTTATTAACGAATAATTGTCACAAGAAATTGCGGTCAAGATCAATATCTAGCCGGAACATACAATCTTATCCCCTTTATACTAATCATGACAGCGGTCTTAACCGGCAATTTTCTAATATCAGAGGAGGAAATTTATCGCCAATATTTCATCAGCGAAACAACAAACTAAACAAACTTTATCCAAAAATAAAACCATTATCTCATTGGCCAAACGAAACAAATTTTATCCAAAAAGCATTCGGAAATTCTTCAATAAAAGGAAAAAAATAGTAAAAGAAAAAAAACCTTTCCCACTTCCGGACCTCTGGCCTCCATCGCCCGCAGTCTTAACCCGAGGAACCGGCAGCCGAAGTCTATCCCTGCCAAAACCCCCCCAGAAGCCCGGCCTGGCCGGTGAATCATCCCCGCCAGAGCTCGAGGGCTCATCAGATGTATCTCGCTGAGTCCTGATCCTATTTAAGCCGCTGGGAATATCGTTCCTATCGACCTCCGCCATCCCGCGCCGAAATCCTAATGCGCCAGTCAGCAAACCCTAACCCCGTTTCCTCCGCGCCGATTTTCCTCTCTGATGAGAATAAACCTCTCGCCAGATCCAACCTCCCCCATCGATATCGAGAAGGAAGGTGTGCCGAAGCGAAACCCCGGGGGAAGAAGAAATCCTGAAATCGATAAGCTCGCCGTTTTGTGAAACCCCACCGGCCCGGCTAGAGAAGAAGAGCGGGAAATCTACCAAAGGACGGCGTCTATCTATCCGGGATAAAGGGCGAGTTGTGCCTTACACGCGTTAAATCGGAGGCATGAATTTTAATTTTTTTTTAATGAAAATAACATATTTTTTCACTGAAATTATGTATGGATATGCAACAATACAAAATGTAGGGGGAAATAAGCAATCAATTGAGACAAGAAGTTGGAGTTTTGTGAAGTTAAATTGGTAGGTTACTAGATTTGGAAGTGCAATTAAATGTGAATGATGTGAATGATTAATCCCTTAAAGTCTAATTAGTAAAGGGTTATCTAGCACAGGATTAAGAGCAGGATTTAACTTAGATGTAGCTAAATGTTGTCAAACACTCGTTTCGAACAAAATAAAACCATTGATTTTAGAAATCTAGATTTCACTTATTTCTGTTCTAAATGTTGGATTTACTAAAACTCATGAATCGGTGGATTTACGGGATTTGGAGGAAGAGCAATTCAGTTTATTTTTATGTTGGATTTATAGGATTTTGTAAATCCGTCACCAAATATTTTTTTTTATTTAAACCATGCAGAATTTAGTAAATTTAGATTTACGGGATTTACTGAATCTAAATAACTTAAATGTCATTTTTTTTT